ATTTGGGTAATTTGTGTTTTCTCTCTTATTTTCTTTGTCGGTCTAGCCATAAATTCCTTCCTATCAATGTAAAATGTTCCTCTTTGCTCTAGTAATACTCCGTCTCTCTTCTCTCTCTCTCTCTCTCTTTCTTTTTTTAACCTGTTCTGCTTTTATTTATTTATTATTATAGTTTTATTTATTTTTTCATTGTACATGTTTATGGGGTACAGTTTGCGGTTACAATACATGCATATATTATATAATGATCCAATTGGAATAGTTAGCATTTATCATTTCTTTGTGGTTATAACATTCAAGATCCTCTTTTCTGGCTATCTTGAAATATACAATTCAATATTATCAGTTATTTTCGCCCTAGAGCTCGAGAACTTATTCTTCCTATCTAACTGTAACGTTGTAACTGTACCAGTATACCAACCTTTCCCTGGTTCCTCTCTCCCTCCTTTTCCCTGCCTCTGAAAACCACTATTCTCTATTTCTTTTTGTTTTTCCTTCTCTTTTTAATTTATTTTTAATTGACCCATGATAACCATATATATTTGTGGAATACAATATTATATTTGGGTACATTCATACTACGTGCAATGACCACGTCAGGGTGCTTAGTATATCCATCACCTCAAACATTTGTCACCTCTTCTTATTGGGAACATTCACCATCATCTTGACTAGCTATTCAAAGGTACACAGTACTTTGTTGTTGACTGTAGTCTCCCTATATTGCTATATATTTCTTGTCTTAAAGTCAATTTTATCTGACAGCAATATAGCCAGCTCTCTTATTAGTTACTGTTTGCATGGATTCCAATTTTTTACTTTCAACCTATTTGTGCCTTTGAGTCTAATGTGTGTCTTTTGAGGACAGTATATAGTTGGGTCTCACTTTTTTATCCAGTCTGATGATCTCTACCTTTTGATTGAAGTGTTTTTCCATTTATATTAATTATTCACATATAATTCTTCATATGGTTGTTCCTAATTTTTGTTTTTGGTGGCTGGCCAGTGCGGGGATTTAAATCCTTGACCATGGTGTTCTAACACCGTGCTCTAACCAACTGAGCTAACCAGCCACCCCCATATGGTGGTTTGCACATCCTCCATCTTGTTACTGTTTCTCATTTGTCTCATGTCTTTTTTTGTTCCTGTGTTACTCTACTACCTTTAACTGTGTTTCATAAATATTTCTTAGTGCAATTTTTTTATTCCTCTGTTGATTTTTAACATTTTAAACAATTTTTTTTTAGTGGTTGATCTAGGGATTATAATATACATCTTAATTTATCACAATCTACTTCAGAAGAACACTCACTTAATTTTAGTAATATATAAAAACTTTAGTCCAGTGTTTCCTTTTCCTCCCTCCCTTTTTGTGCCATTCTTGTTATATATATTACATCGATATATTTATAAACCTAACAGTATATTGCTATAAATATTGCTTTATACAATCTTATATACACGTGTTCATGTGTGTGTGTGTGTGTGTGTGTGTGTGTATATATATATATATGTGTATGTATGTATGTATGTATATATTTTTTGGCAGCTGTACAGTACAGGGGTCCAAACCCTTGACATTGGTGTTGTAACATCGCATTTCAACCAACTGAGCTAACTGGCCAGCCCATAATCTTATATACTTGTAATAATTATAAATATTGCTTTATATGATCTTATATTACATAACAATATAATGTTATAAATATTGTTTCATACAATTTTCAATTTAACAAATGAGAAAAATATGTTAATATTTTCTACTTGATGAGTCATTTTTATCATACCTTCTTTTAATTCTTTAAACATGATTTCTTTAGTTCTTTGAACGTATTTATAATAGCTGCTTTGAAGACTTTGTCAAAGCCAACATCTGGGAACATGCAGATAGTTTATATTCACTGCTGTTTCCCCCTATGTTTATACTTTCTTGTTTCTATACACATCTCACAATTTTTTGTTGAATATTGGAAATTTTAAAATTGTAGCAACTCTGTAGTCTGATTTTTTTCTTCCTAATGATTATCATCTTTGTTTTTTGTTTGTATATTTAGTAAGTAACTTTCTGGACTAAATCTGTCAAATTGCTCTCCCCCACAATATACAGCTACTGATAGCTCTGCTCAGTTTTTCTTTCTTATTATTTTTTTTTAAATCTGGCTTCTTAAGGGTTGTTTCTCTATCTACACAGCTTAATATTTAGCCAAAAATTGGTCAGAGGTTGTGCTCTAACACTTTGAGCCAGTAAGACTTCTATTTTGGTAAGTGCAGTCAATGTTCAGGTCATTTTCAACTCTGTCCTGACTTGTAGTTTCTGTTGGACTTTCTTACATCTCCTCTGCATACCTACACAGGCTCCAATGGCCAGGGGTGTGACAGTGGCTTGAACCTCCTGTGGTCTTTACTATACATGTGCACAACCTCTGGGCAACCAGGATATGTAAAGCTTATCAAGCCCCATATGGCTGTCTCATTTCCCAGAACCCCAAGCTGTCAGTCTATTGTTTGCCCCAAATAGGACTGCAACCCTGGACTACTGCAGCTGTGGTCTTCCCTGTTTTCTTATCACCAAGAACGCCATGTTAGCCAACAGTGCTCCAAATCATGTGAGCCCAAGAAGGCAGTGACAGTGAAGCTACTGGTTTTCACGGACTGCCCACCCTGGTTGAACTATCATGCCAACAGAACTAAGGGCTAGGGAATTCAGAGAAGCCCCAGGTAAGTACACTACTAACTCAGATTTCTGCAATTTTCATGAATAAATGCTCTCAGTTTGTTGTATGCCTTTGATCGATTTTCAGAGTGCTGAAATAGCACTAGACAGTTTTGTCAAGCTCTACAGCTGCTTTTTTAAAACTGTGGTAAAGTAGGGGCCGGCCCGTGGCTCACTCGGAAGAGTGTGGTGCTGATAACACCAAGGCCATGGGTTCGGATCCCATATAGGGATGGCCGGTTAGCTCACTGGGTGAGCGTGGTGCTGACAACACCAAGTCAAGGGTTAAGATCCCCTTACCAGTCATCTTTTAAAAATAAAAATAAATAAATAAATAAATAAAAAACTGTGGTAAAGTAAAAATAAAGTTTACCATTTTAATGGTACAGTTCACATTCACATTAGCATTTATGTGCAACCATCACCACTATCCATTTCCGGAACTTTTTCATCATCCCAAACTGAAACTCTGTACCTGTTAAATAATAATTCCTCATTTCCCTTTCCCCACAGCTCCTGGTAACCACTGTTCTACTTTTGTGTCTGGTTTGTTTCACTCAGCATAATGTCTTCAAGGTTCACCCATGTTGTAGCATGTTTCAGACTTTCATTCCTTCTTACAGTGAATGATATTCCATTCCATATGTATACCCTATGTTGTTTATCCATTCATCCACCAATGGACTATAATTGCTTTTGTTTGTTTGGGTGGCTGGTATGGGGATCTGAACACTTGACCTTGGTGTTATCAGCATCATGTTCTTTTTTTTTTTTTTTGTCTTTTTTCGTGACCGGTTAGGGGATCGTAACCCTTGGCTTGGTGTCGCCGGCACCGGCACCGCGCTCAGCCAGTGAGCGCTGTGAGCGCACCAGCCATCACTATATAGGATCCGAACCCGCGGCGGGAGCCCCGCTGCGCACCCAAGCGCCGCACTCTCCCGAGTGCGCCACGGGGCCGACCCACAAATGAGCTAAAGTCCAGCCCTATAGTTGCTTTTTGAGAAGAGGATTTGTCTAGCCCTTCACTCCATCATTTTGGAAATCAATCTCCACAAGTGTAATTTTACAATTACTATATTATTGTATTAATTACTATCTCCCATGTTAGACTACAAGCTCCTCGAGGGGAGGAATGAAGTTTCTTCTATAAATCTCTCTACCCCAGCACCCAGGAGAAGGCACTCGGTAAATAATTGTTGAATATATGAATGTTTAAGGTATGGAACGAGAGAACTTCCTTAGAACTTTTTTAAGTAGGAAGCGTCAAGGCCAGATGTGTTCTAGAAAAAAAATTGTCACTGTTTACTAAGCAGTTACTATGTTGCTCGGCTCCTTGCCAATCTCTTCATCACCTCCACTCATTTAATCCTCACAAGAAACTTTGTCTTGAGTATGTTCAAAGAAATCACACTTTAAGGACAGGGATGAGAGTTAAATTCTCAAGTTAGTACAAAAGGCAAATATTAATCAAAATTATTTAATTTAAACACACTTGAGCGAGATGCTTTCTGTTGCACTGCAGCTGTTGGATGGAATGGTGGGAGACATAAACTACCCTCTTACCCCCATCACCTATGACATAAAGTAATTTACCTATGATGTGACTCTACTTGACTGGTATCATCTCCATTTTAGGGATGAGGAAGTGGACAGGCGGAGAAGCAGAATAGAGGCAGGAACACCGAAGAGGATGCCCTGTGGTCCTTGCAGGAGCTAGAGAGCAGGGTCTTGAAGGTGTGTCAGGATCGCAGTGGGGTTACTGATTCCTCAGAGAGCCAAAGGAGAGCGGGATAGATCCCATCCCACATGTACCGCCTTCCCAACCCTTCCCCACCTGGTTACTCACCCGCTCTGAGGGTTCCGAGTTTCTTTATCAGCAGTTACCTCCGCTGTCCCTGCGTTGCTAGGTTACCTGTCAATCTCAGGAGGCGGGACTCGACATCTGATTGACTTTCCTTTTCACCATTCAATTCCTTGTTCCGCTCAGTCAGCCCACCTCCTGAGTCCTGACCAATTAGGAGCACCGTCTCTCTGTCCTCTCACCAATTGAAAGACCCGGGACGCCCTCTGGGTTGGGCTGGATAAGTAAGGTGGCGAGGATGGGAGTGGGAACAGGGCGGAGCTTCCTCGTCCCGCCCCTTCTCAAGGAGGCGGGCCGGGAGTACTGCATCGGCAGCGGGTGAGAACTGGGGAAGGACGTGAAGCTTTACCAATCAGAGCTCACCATGGCAGCCCAAGATAGCCAATAGGCCGTGGAGAAGGGGAATTGGGGCGGGGCCACCGGGTTGAGGGGACAGTGGGCGGTGGATGGGAGAGCTGGCGCAGCTGCTGTGGTGGCAGCTGCTGTGGTGGCAGCGGCTGAAGTAGCGGTGTCTGTAACAGCTCTGGGCTCGGGGCTTTGGTGGCGGCGCCGCCGGCGGGCTGGGCTGCACGGTGCGGACTCCGGCGCGCGGTCCGGGTTGCTGGCGCGGCACGTGTAAGAATTTGAAGGGTGCGAGGGTTTGGCCCGAGAGAGAGGGCAGGGGTCAAGGGTCAGAGGGCGTGGAGTAAGGGTTTGCGGCTGGACGGGTTGCGGGTGTGGGAGGTGGGCAGGGCGGGGCCAGAGGGGCGCGCTTCTCTCGGTCCAGCCCAGGCCTGGGCTTTGCACTTCTCTCTTCTCCCCCGGTTTCCTCGGGCGACCCCCAAGTGGGGGCCCAGACCCGGACTGGGAGCACGTGGAGCTGGAGCCCGCACTCCTGCCTCTTGCTTCTCCTTTCACCCGCTCATCTCCCCGGCGCCCTCCGGTGACCCCGCAGGAGACTCATACCCGGGTCAGGCTGCCCCAGTGGACAGCGGGTTGGCAGTTGGCTCTTTTCCCCGGGACCTTTCCGCAGGAGTGACCTGGGTCCTTCGTACAGAGAGCCAAAGCCCGCCGAAGGAGCACAGGGCTAGGACTTAGGAGTCCTGGGTTCTCAGTCTGCACTGTGTGACCTTGGACAAGTTCCTTCCCCTCTCTGGGCCTCATTTTTCTCTCTCTGTAAAATGAAGGGTTTAAATTCAAATTGGGGAACTGATTCTGGGAGTGGGTATAGGATAATGGTAAGTGGGATGGGTCACGGAATTCAGAATGCCTGAGTTGAAATCTGGGCTATCCCACTTCCCTGTTTACTTGTAAGAGGCAAGTTAACTACTGTAAGCCTTGGTTTCCTCATCTGTAACATGGGAATATTAGCTAAGATAGGATTTCTCAACAACAGCATTATTGACATTTTGAGCCATATAATAATTTTGGAGTCGTCTCCCCTGTGCATTGTAGAATGTTTAGTGGTATCCCTGGTCTCTACCAACTAGTGACCCGCCCACTCCCAAGGTATGATCATCAAAAATGTCTCCAGACATTGCTAGTATCCCCTGGGGGGTAAAATCACCCCAGTTGAGAGCCACTGAGCTGAGATAATGCATGCAAGCAAGCAGTTATATACTAATGTTAAAACATAAAAACCACTAGCCATTATGACAATAACGATAAAATTAAGAAACTTCTTGATGAGTTGAGAGGATTAATAGATTCTCTTGCCTTCAAAATAAGTACAGGAGATGATTGTCAAAGATGAGTAATGGATACAAGGAAGTTACTTATATATTTTCTAGTTTTGACTACGTTTGAATATTTCCGTGGTAAAGAGTTAAACCAAAAAAAAAAAAAAAAAAAAAAAAAAACCTAAAAAAATAATTCTTAAGATAGCCTAATGGTAGCATCTCACCTGGGATTTCCTCTTCTGCCTCTCACTAGTGAGTTTAAAAGTAAAATAAATCCTCAGATCTGGAGGAAACTTAAAAAAAAATCTTCTCACAGGAAGTTTGCTGGGCTGAAAGCTACAGGCTTAGCAGCAAGTAGCACGGTATTTACTTTTGCTGTCTTGTTTTAAGAAGATGTGCCATTCCCCCTATTGGTGCTGAGGGATCTGCTGGAAGTTATTCTAATGAATCACGAGAGAAGTAAATTGCCATGTTGCCATTCAGTGGGTCAATTTGGAGGCAAAATTGACTCAGCCTGGAGGCCACAGCTTGAGGAAGGAACCTGCTGTTGTTTTCAAGTTCAAAGGTCTGCAGTCAGATCTGCTGAGTCCCTGCTTTTCTTTTGGTCCTTCTAAGCAGAAACAGGAATGTGTATAAATAGGAACTGTAACAGGCTAGTTCTGAGTGTTTTAAATTGAGAGTTAAGGATGAGCACCTTTGCTCTGTGATTCTGGACATCATTTTAAAAATACTCATGTTTCCTTCCCTTTCTTCCTCAAACACTTACATCTAGAACAATGCCCATATGAGAATGATATGTATTGTTTACCAGCAAAGTCTAGAATGATCTTGGGAGTATGTGTCTAACTACTCCTGAGAGGTTGCTTATAAACCTGACGTGAAAGACATTTAAAAAAAAGATATGGACAAATATAGATTACTTGGCATGCTGACACTTTACTGGTCATTGAAGCTAGGTGCTGTATGTCTTGGGGCTGTTTTGAAGTTTCAGTCAACTTTTACTTATAGTTTGCTAGTAAAGCCCCTGGTACATGGTAAGTGCTCATTAAGTATTAATTACTATTATTCTAATGGTTGTCTTTTTGTCTTTAAAAAAAATTTTTTTTTTTTGGTAGCTAGCCAGTACAGGGATTGAACCCTGGACCTTGGTGTTATCAGCACCATGCTCTAACCAACTGAACTAACCGGCCAGCCCTGTCTTAAATTCTTCATAAAACTCACACACAAATAAGTGTAAAGATGGGTGGAGGTGGAATATATTAGCCCTAATCTCACTCTCCAGACATAATTACCCTTAACTTTTCAATATTTGTTCTTGCAGATGCCATTTATAATGCCTTTTAATGCCATTATACTGTAATAACTCTTCTTTGTTTAAATTAAGATATAATTTACATACCATAAATTTTACCAATATAAAAAGTATAATTCAGTGGTTTTTAGTATATTCACCAGGTTGTGCAGTCATCACCACTGTCTATTTTCAGAACATATTCATCAGTAGTGGTTATGTTTTAATAATTGTCTTTCTTTTCTTTTTATCCCCCAAATCTTAGAAGATGCCTCTAATGGAGTTTCTGAGAAGCACCTCTGGGCCAGTGGCTTTGAAAGGGAGCTCCAACCAGAGACTATTTAAAGCCCTGGACATTGCATCCTGAGAGCTATAGGAGAGGAGAACATGGCTGTGAGCTTAGACGACGATGTGCCCCTCATCTTGACCTTGGATGAGGGTGGCAGTGCCCCACAGGCTCCCTCCAACAGCCTGGGCCAAGAGGAGCTACCTAGCAAAAGTAAGACAGTGGGGTGGACTGTGGGGACTGCAGCTATTCTGTTTCAGAGGGGGAGAGACAATGAGGGCTTTGTGGTCTGATAGAAGGGGCATGTACCCTCTCACCTGACCCCACACTTGAGACCCAAGTTCTGACACAGAAACTATTCCTGGGAGACTGGGGGCATCTAGTTCATTATCCAATCTTCATAATGCTTATAGCGGCTGGGCTCGCCCTCCTGGAGCACTCGCTTCCCTCAGCCACTTGCCTCCCTTGCACCTGAGGTCCCCAGGCTCTGTCTGTAGACGCTTGGCAGGGAACTCAGGCAAACCTACTTCTTGGCTAGCTTCCCTGCTCTATTCCTTGTTAAACAAAAGGAGCAGATCTCAACACCAGCCTCTGTGTGTCCCACTCTGAAACCACTGGCAGGAAAACAGAGCTGACTGCTTCTCTCGTCTCCATCTCAGTCCTCGCGTTGCCCAAGATGGGGGAATGAGGCGAGCATTTGTTGTGATCCATTGATTTGAGGGTTTGGGGTTTTGCTTTGTCTTCCTCTGAGCTGAAGCCTAGCACAAAGTGAACCCAAGAGAGGTAGTGAGATTTAAATTTTTAAAATTTTAAGTGTGTTTCTGGCAGAATGAGAGGCCTTAAAAACCTTCATAGTCCTTGTCTCGAGGCCATTTGTTTCATCTACTTAGGCCTTGGGCTCAAGAGAGACTTAAAATAACTGGTCTTTTCTGCAGTGTCCTAAGATGCCAGTACCAGAACTTTAAGGTCTCCTTAGCGTATGGATGTTCCACCATCTACCAGTGCTCCTCAGCCAGAGCATAGATGGACTGCTCTTCTCTCATGCACAAGCGGAGACACTTGGGACTAGGGAGAGAAGAGCCTGGCTCTCCTGTCTCCTTTGTCCATAGAAAACACAGTTGGGTTGCAGGGAGCTCAGCAACCTCTTCTTCTCTCATGCACAAGCGGAGACACTTGGGACTAGGGAGAGAAGAGCCCGGCTCTCCTGTCTCCTTTGTCCATAGAAAACACAGTTGGGTTGCAGGGAGCTCAGCAACCTCCCCTGGGAAGTGATGAAGGAGAACTGTGTTCCTGGGGAGGAGAGTGCTGTGGGAGCCCTGGCTCCCTATAAACAGGCCTGTCTTTGCTTTGGCATGTCCACCCCCATCTACGGTGGCCAAGCTGGGTGGTCCAGGAGGATTAGAACAAACCAGATTTCCCCCTGAGTGTCACTAAGAGCTGAGAAAGCAGTAGTTCTGATTTCAGGATCATCTGTTTTCTAAGATCCCTTTGCAAGGTAGGCAGCATTGTCCCTATTTTACAGAGGAAGAGATGATAGTGAGCAGAGATTTGAATCCAGGGTTCCTTCCCCTCTTCCTCCTCCTTTTTCTCCTTCTCCTACTCCTCCTTCTCCTTTTCCTTCTTTTATGAGCCCTTAATAAATGTGAGCACAGGCCGTTAGCACTTATGTGCATTATCTTATCATATAACCTCAAGATATAGAGTTACTGTTATTATCTGTGTTTTATAGTGGAAAAGAGGGCCTCAGAGAGGTTGAATAACCTGTCTAGGGTCACACAGCTAGTAAGCAGTAATGCGTCTCTGATCTGTCCTCCCACACCACTGTGGAAGGTGCTTTGGGAAAGGGATGTACGTGAGTATGGCACAGTCTCAGCTTCAGAGGAGGACACTGCCTAGTGACAGAGGTGTGAAGTCCACAAGGGAATGGGCTGAAAGGAAGGGTGGTTGGCATACTAAAGGTGTGGCTCATGTCTGGAAATAGCCAGGCTCAAGATTCAAGTGGGAATCCTGGTTGTTAGTGAGTGCCACTTTTAAATCCCTCCAAAGCATCCAAGCTGATGGTAGGTGTTCTGTTGTCCTGTGAGGTAAAAGTGGGAAGAGCAGCCCAGTTCTGCGTCAGGCTTTGAACTGATGATGGAGCTCGATGAGTAGGAAATAGGCCAAGAGCAAAGAGACAGTAAAACTCATGTTGGATAAGCCACTAGTGAGGCTGTTCTTATCTCGGCAAAGTCAGTGGCTTCTTTTAGTTTGTTTCTTAAGAAAAAAGATAACTAACTGCCAGGGTCCAGAGACGTTGTGTTTTCTACACAGTGCATTAGTGCCTCAGTTTCCTCTCTCACTCTCTTTCTGGGTCATTTACTAAAAACTCTAAGAACTAGTAGTTGTAATCCACCAGGCCTGGCTGGGGAAAACAGTGGGGCCTCTCTGAGGAAAGATTTCAGAGAAAGCCTGCTCTTCCTTAGCATAAGCCTTCATTATTTCATGCTTGGGTTTTGGCATTGAGCTCCTTCCCAAGGTGCCCTTCCATGCTGTCTGAGCAGCCTGTCTAAAACACAAATCCAATCTGGTAATTTCCTTATCTTAAAGCTCCTCAGTATCTTCCCATCTCTACAGGATGCAGGCCATGCCCTTTAGTGTACAAGGCCTTGGGTATTCTAGTGCCTTCTTGCCTGAACAGTCCCATTTCCTGCCTCAGCCCACAATATCACACTGCTTTTAGTTCATTGAATCCCAGTGCATTCTTAAATCTCTCTTCCTTGCTGGTAAGTCTGTCTGGAATGCCTTTCCCAGCCTCTTGTTTACTCATGAGCTCCAGTTCCTTCTTGAAAGTCCTGCTGATAACACCATCGTTTTGAAGCCTCCACTGAACTTCACCTTCCTGGCAGAGCTAATTACTCACTGCCCTTTTCTGCTTGGTTTCCTGATTAGGCTTCCAGTATTACAAGGAGCTCACTGTGTGGTAACTACTTGTTTAGGCATCTGATCACCCCATAGGCCCTGAGTTCCATTCATCTTTGTATCATGTAGCTCAATACCTACAATATGTAGATACTCAACAAATCATGCTCAGAATAAACCTGGTGGGGTTTCTGGGGCCGAGTGGCTGTCTGGGCATCTTAGTTAGAGGTGGGCAGCATCTGCTCCTGCCTTTTCTCCTAACTGGTGTCTTGAGTCCCATTGCTCCCAACATGGCCAATTGATCGTCCTGGAGACTGCTATCATTGACCTGGCTAAAATACACCCTTGTCTGTGGCTGCTGTATACCCTTGAGGTATTAAGGAGTTGGCAGAATGCAGTTGGAGACCATCAGCAGAGCTGGCAGAGACAAGAACATAAACCACTGAGAACTTTCTAAGCTTTCTAAGGGTATGAGCCTTGATGAAACCTGTACCTTTGTCCTGACCCAGCAGTCACCAAGCCCTTCCTCTGGCTCTGAACCTATGTGCTCCTTCTATCAGTCTGCTCAGGTGGCCATATAAATAACATGGATTGGGTGGCTTAAACAACAGAAATTTATTTTCTCGCAGTTCTGGAAGCTGGAAGTCGAAGATCAAGGTGTAGGCAGGTTTGGTTTCTTCTGAGGCCTCTCTTCTTAGCTTACACATGGCCACCTTCTGGCTGTTTCCTCACATGATCGTCCCTAAGTTTATGTCTGTCTTCTTATAAATATGCCAGTGCTGTTGGATTAGGGCCCACTCATGTGACCTCATTTTACCTTAATTACCTCTTTAAAGAGTATACAAATACAGTCACATTCTGAGATACAGGAAGTTAGGGCTTCAGCATATAATTTTTGGGGAGACATAATTCAGCCCATAACACTCCTACCTTTTCCTCAGATGCAGGCACCCAGGAATCTAGCTGTGCTGCCTGTGACCTTTAATCCTATGCTAAGAACTATCCCTGCAGGAAACTAGAGGGTTTGGATCTTTCTCCTTGTATGAGCAGTGTGGATTTTATGTAAGACTCAAACATCTTTGGGCTATAAGAGTGGCTGCTGAAATGCTAATGAATGACTCACAGGCAGAACGTGTCAGGTTGATAAAGGAGGCAGGTATGAGTTGAGGTATTTAAAGCCTGGAAATTAGGAATAACCTTGAGAACAGTCAGTGGGTCTGGTGTTTGACAGGGCAATTTAGAGACAGCCTGCAGCCTGCACTGTGCATCAGACAGTGGTCTAAACCACCACGTTTAGGGAATCAGATGTCCAGAGTCTGAGCACTATGGTCAGCACGGGGTTTTCCAAGGTAACTCTGGTTGCACTAAGCTTTTGCTTTCTCGTTGTCTTTAACCCAGTTGCTGCCTAAGCTGGGCCCGCAACAAATGCCTTTTCTGGGTGAGGAAAGGGTTGGAGATGAGGGGGCTGGCTGAGGTGTGAGCAGGGTGTTCAGTCTCATGGATTCTTCATGGTTTTAAGGTGACAAGCCACGCAGGAATAAGGGCTAAGGTAACAGAGCAGAGAACTCCCCTCTCCCTCCTTCACCCTGATGCCTGGTATGTGATCAGGAGTTACCTAGGATCAGTGCCATGCCAGCATTGTGGAGGGTCACTGTCCCCTGGCAGGGGCCAACACATGGTGCCCTGGCTCACTTTCCAGAGTCTTCATGTAGCCAGAGCCGGTTGGCACCAGGCTTGGTCAAGGTGGGCCAGAACTGTTAGCCTCAGGGCAGACAGAGTTGCTGGAAAAGAGCTGTGGGGCTGTTACCAAAGGATGATCAACCCCCAGCTGGACTCTGCACCGCAGAAATCCATGTCCGTGGCTCTTAGTTTCTGAGTGTCCCCACTATAGCTGTCAAAGAGTGAAGGAAGCCCAAGGGACTTGTATAGCTTTTGTCACTTATGATACACTGTGTGGTGGAGTGGTTGAGTGTATATATCAACCTCCAGACTTCTAATCCTAGCTGAGTACAGTGCTTAGCTTCTCTAAGCCTCAGCCTCCTCATCAGTAGAATGGGATCGTGATAGAATCTCCTAGTAGGGTTGTTGGGGGGATTTAGTGAGATCATGTGTGCAATCACATAGTCAATGCTCAGCCAGTCATAGGCGTTATTATCATGGCCAGAGATTGGGCTGCTTCTTTGGAATATCCGCCATTAGCAGGGGTCCTGAACCCAGACTAAGATCTGATTCCTTTTTGCCTCACTCCTGGCACAGTGGGTGGCCACTGCCAGGCAGAGAAGCTGAGGCAGCATGGCAGCTGAAGACCAAGCAGC